CAGCAGAGAAACAGGCAGAAAGGAAAAGGGAAAGGGGCTTTATTTTCTTTGAGGACATGGGAGAAAGTGTGGGGAAGGATGAGGCCGTCTCTCCATGGAACAAAGGGGCCCTGAGGCTTTCATGGCCTTTTGCCCGGGGTGGAGTTTGGAGGGGACGTTTAGGTACACCTGAGGAAGCTGACTGGGGCCTGCCCTGCGGTGGCGGGAAGGGTGGCGGTCATTTATGTCCTGAGCTGAGTTGGAGAAGAAGGGGGAGGTGGTCTGGGGAAGATGGGCTTTGTTTTAAGGCTTCAGCCATATTAGATGACCACCATGATGATTTTAGCAGTTCACACTCAGGCCAGAACCTATCACTTTCCACTGTCAGGCCTCCTTTAGACAAACGTTGTCAAAATATGGTGCTGAAGAGCCTGATGAAGACTCCCGCCGACATGAGCAGACTGCGTCGGGCCCATGTCTGCGGTGAACACTGGCCGTCCCACCTGGCCACGATCTGCCGTTGGCTAGCAGCGTTTGTTCGCGCTTGTCCCTTCCCTGACTGGGCGGTTTCGCTCCTATTTCTCTCCACTTGTTCTTTGCGTGTGTCCACATCAAACTTACTGTGGTGTTGGACATGTGGCTCCTTCGACATAAAAGGCGCCTTCTGGTTCCTGTCTAAGGACTCCTGCTTGCCTCCAGGTCCGCAAGAGAGGCTGTTTTTCTTCCGCCTGTTCTTGTGACACCCGGCAGAAGTCGCGCGCATCTCTTTCTCCCCCATAGCAGCAGGAGAGCTTCCAGTATGATTCTTTTTTTTTTTTTTTTCAGAACCAGTACAGTATGGTTCTTCTCACACTATTTTCCATTTTCATCACCATTTTCTCTTAACACAGGGCTAAGAGATCCTAGGTCAGTGGTGGCAAAACTTCAGCATGTGGGCTACCGCGTGGAAAGTTCTAAAAGGCTTGTCGTTGTTGTCCTAGCTTATAATCTTGTTCATTTATTTCTGAAGTATAATACAGTTTCAAGCATACAGTAGTCATACAATTAAATGATTAAATCTTTCATTTACCTAACATTTCTCAAACTACATCGTTACTCAGAAAGAACACAGTTATAAAGGATTTTTTTTTTTTGGCTGGTTCAGGCTGCCTGAAGGGCAGGTCTGGTAAGGCAGGTGGAGCTGGGGGTCAAACCATGGTATCCTGCTCCTGACTGCCTTTGCATGAGCAGGCACTTAAACAACTGAGCTAAGGGCAGGCCCCAAGAACACAATTATAAAGGCAAACAAAATTCTATGTGCCACTCTTTTTAAAAATACCATGATACAGTGTCTCAGTTACTCTTCTCTCATTGCTGGGACAAATACCCAGCACTCGGGGACCTGCAGGTTGGCTCAGTTGTTTAAGCACCTGCTTATGCAAATACCCAACACTCAAAATTAGGGAAGGAAAGGTTTATTTAGCTCACACCTTCTGCAGGCTTCAGTCCATGCTCAGCTGGCTCCGAGGCAGAGCGGCACATGGCAGAGAGCAGGCTCTCATGGCGACAGCAAAGAGCAAGAGAGCGAAGGGAGGAGCAGCAGCTCAGGCAGCAAGCCTCCCTTCCCTCCTTACACTACAATACAAACTACCTGCCCAGGGCGGGTGTAGCACCCACACCCACAGGAATCACAAACTCCAGCAGCCGCCCCAAGACTGTGGGAGGCTTTGGGGGGGACACCTAGACACAGACCATAACATATAGCATTACCCAAATGTTATTTTTATTGTCTTGTTTATAATTACTTAAATAGAGCCTCATCTAGCTACTAGTATACCGTGTCACTAAATTCATTAGTGCTGTTTTCTTACCTCTATCTCTAGTCCACACATGAGCCTGTTAGGGCTTTTGAAGCCTAGGAAAGGACAGCTTCTACTCCCCTACTCTACTGCCTCACCGTGGAGCAAGGCTGCTAACTCACCAGGCCTCTTTCTTCTGACAGAGAAGACAAAACTAACCTAGTGATCAGCAGTACATCGCAGAGCTCTTCTTTAGGCAAATGCACTTGCAGGATTTGAGTTTGCTATAGGAGGCTTCATAGAACTGAAAAAAGGTACTGATGTCTATTCTCTTTTTCTGAGAGCAGGTTACAGTTCACAGGAAGGAAGTTGAAGAGCTAGAAAATACTGTTCATGAACTGGAAGAAGAAAACTTGGTGCTTATCAACCAGCTATTCAGTTGTAGACTTGTGGATCTCAAAATTCCCAGGTGAAGGTCACTAATGTTTTCTAGAAAATGTCTTATAAATATTTGTGCCTGTATTTTTTTTTTTTTTTTTTTTTTTTGTGGAACTGGGGGTTGAACTCAGGCCCCTGCTGTACCTATATTTTTTTAAATAATGATTTACTCCTCCACTGCTCCAGCTAGGATGCAGTAGTCCCAAATAAAAGGCCAGACACAGTGGGTCCCACCTGTAAACCCAGCACTCTGGGAAGCTGAGGCAGGAGGATCACAAACTCAAACCCAGCCTGAGCAACTTGGCAATTAGGGAGAACCTTTCACAAAGTAAAAAATAAAAAAGGGGGGGGGGGCTGGGGATATAGCTCAGAGGGGGGAACCTGAGGAACTCAAAACGACCACGATGAAGGTGGAAGATTGTCACTACTGACCGCAAGGATGGCGTAAACTTTGCTTGTGGAGTTCCACTGCACTGTGGTCACTTGCCGTGGACATCGCTGCTGCCAGCCTTCAGGACCGCACGGCCACGGGAGAGGCGCTGCTGCGGATTAGCTGCGTGCGCGTGTGCGCCCGTGGGCGAGAACAGGGTTAGCACCGCCGGGCCTCCGCTTTCTGGAAGCTCCTTAGAGGTGTCTGCGCTTCTGGCCTCCTTGGGAGGGTGGAGTTATTTCTTCTGGAACACTCAAACCATTTTGTAGCTGCACAGAGTAGCCTGGAATCATAAGCTACAGTCGTTTCTGCACAGAAGAGCCACACACATAGCTTTGTATTCCAGGTTAGCTACTTTTCTTGCCTGAACCCCCAAATATATACATACATATATAAATCTTGATGGGAAAACTAGGAACCTGAAATACGGAATTAACATTCAAAGTGACACTCATAATTTGGATAGTCAAAAAATAAGAACTAATCTAAAACGTATCACATTTAGGAATAAAAACATAAGTTACACAAATGTAGAGCACGTGTGTGCAAGTATGGGTGGTAAGTGCCCAGCTCTGGGACCTAAGTTAGAGACGGTAGCAAAGACCGTGGAAGTGTTCCAATCAAATAGTTTGTGTTGCTTGTTTGACATAGAAAAATACCATTTGAGGGCTGGGGAAATGGCTCAGTAGAATAAACACTTGCCTGGCAAGCATAAGGGCCTGAGTTCAATCCCCAGTTCCACCAAAAAAAGAAAGAAAAGAAAAGAAAAATACTATTTGAGACATGGTAAGCTATTTATTCTTTACAGCCTTTCTTTTTTTTTTTTTTTTTTTTTTGAAGACAGGGTCTCACTCTGTAGTTCAAGCCTGCCTTGAAAACACTGTATTCCTCAGGATGGCTTCAAACTCGTGTAGATCCTCCTGCCTCAGCTTGCTGGGGGCTGGGATCACAGGCATGTGACACCTCGCCTGGACAGTTTCTTTTTCACAGACCTCTTAATGAGTTCTAAGAAGGGTGGATGCAGCTGAGTTAGAGGCTCCTTGTTTGCTAAGCTAAGGGGTGGGATTTGGGCACAAGACTGGAGAAACTTGGGAGGCAGTGTAATTACTTCAGAGTCTGAAAGCTGGGCAGGGCTGGCCAGAGAAGGGGCCGCCTGCCTCCCACAGGAAAGTGGGCGCCAGTGTAGGCAGTGAGGCTGCATGGGTGCGCCCAGCCTCTGACCAGCCGCCTCCTGAAGCCAGGGCTCAGTTCCTGTCCTGCCTCCAGTCCTTGCCGCCGGTGGCAGCTGCCTGCTGCGCAGTCGCGTCTCACCTCTGCCAGCTGCCTGTGTCCTCCTTTTCTAAACTGGTCAAACCTTAGCAAGCAGCCACCTTCTCACCTGCTGGCTCTACTTCTTGCCTCCGTCCGCTCAGTCTCACTGATTGGATTTGGTGCCAGGGCCAGTAACGATAACAAAGGGCGCTGTCCCATTGGCCGGGGAGGACTTGGCAAGTACAGAAGGGAGGGAACTCTGATCCCTTTGTTCTCAGTGCTGGCGTCAAACCTGGGGCCTCACATGTGCTAGACGAACACTCGGCTGCTGGGCTACCTCCCCGGCTGGGCAAGAAATTTCAGTAAGAATTTCTGTTAAGTTGTTCGCTGTATAGTGTGCAGTTAACCGCCTCTGTCTTCCACTGTCCCCAGCAAATCCACGTTGTCCGTCAGCGCCTTAGTGGCTCATTTCTCCAGTGAGCAGCATGGAGTTCTCGGTTCACCAGAGTTGGGAGGAATAAAATCAAAATCTTTTTCAATTTTTTATTAGTCCATGTTTGCAGGACATAATATTTACGTTCATTTCAGGGGGTAGGTGCCTGCACTTAATTCTTTGTATTCTCCTTCGTCTCTCCCATCCTCCATTTCTGGATTCCTTTCCCATTTGCAGAAGGACTATGAGTGGGATTTTTAAGAACTGAGTTAGGCGTCCCTGTATGCAGCTTTGTAACGCTGCACCTTTTCCTGTAACCAGCTCCTGGCAGGCTTCTGCTTCCTTCTTGTCTGCTTCCGTGTCGGGCTCCTGAGCTCCTGGAGGAAACTGTTCAGGAGACTTCAGAAAGACACGCAGAGAAGCCAGGGAAATGTGTGAACTCGCGCTTGGCTGGCAGGAGTTCTTAGCCAGTTAACCTGAGGGCATTTGGGAGCTGGTGCTGTGGCAGTTTTTAAGTCAAAGAAACATCAATCACACGCATCGTGTATGTCCCGGTAACAACCTCTCCGGCATTTGTGGAAGACTCAGTCCCTGACTAGAAGAAGCAGGCTGGTGATGAGAAGATGCACAAACTATCCCCAGCAGCACAGAAGTTCCTGTTTTCATTCTGCTTAGCACGCGCTGTGACATTTCCCATCCTGCAGGCATTTTTCCCATCAGAACTCACAACACAGCATTTTGTTGACGTTGTAGTGAAAACAGCCAGCCAAGAGTGCACAGAGGCGACTCCTTGGAGTGCTAGTGCCCCAGAGGGCAGGTGAAGCAGGCCCCTGCCTACAAATGGAGCACTTTCTTGTACAGGAGCCAAACTCAGGACCTTGCACTTGCCAGGCTGGCGCTTATACCCCTGAACTCTATCCCCGGTCCCCCATAGCCCCAGACATGTCTGCTTAAAGAACAGAGCCACATATGAAACAAAACTTCAATAAAATATCTTTAAGAAATTTTACACAGGATACAAAATGCATAAAAATTAGGCCATGCCCGGCAGTGCACGTCGGTGACCCTAGTGCACGTGGGAGGCCAAGGCAGGAGGATGGCTTGGAGGCCAGCCTGGGCTGCAAAGTGAGCTCCAGGCCAGCCTGAGGGCAGAGCAAAACCCTATATCAAAAGGACAAGCAATAACAAATCAGTAGTGTTCCTGTGCCCCAGTAATGAACTCACTGGGAAAGAAATGACAAAACAATGCCATTCTTAGTAGTGCCCAGGAAAATTAAGGTCTTAGGAATTAACCTTACCAAGGAAGTGAAGGACCACTACACAACAAAACCCACAGTAATCTGAAAAAGAAGATGAAAGAGAACATCAGACAATGGAATGACACTCCCTGTTTCTGGACAGGCAGAGCCAATATTGTCAACATGGCAACAGTCCCCAAGCTGACATAACAGTCTAATGCAATTCCAAGCCAAGCACCAACCGTACTCCTCACGTAGCTGAATTCTGGAAGAAGCAACTAACTGGAATCACGCCGCTCTCCTCGCTGGGGCTTTGAACGCTTCCTTCCCTATCCTGGAAGGGCCTTCTCTTCCTCCACGCTTCTCCGTGGTGATGTCTCCTGGTTCTTACAGACTCAGTTCAGGGTTCAGCTCTTTCAGGAAACCGCTAGCTCCTGCAGCTCGGCCCTGCTTCTTTCTGGTCCCAGCATCCTCACGCCGTGCTAGTCCCCACTGTGGTACTAAGCATTGCGGTAAGTACTCGGGGATTGCAGTACCCCGCTGGGCCTCACGCTCCGGGCAGGAACTGTAGCTTCTTTTTTCTAGAAGTCTCTAAAACCCAGGAGAGAAATTGACATCAGTAAGCACACAATACAGTATTTGTTGACTGGTAGACTGCTTTTATTTCTTTTTTTAGACGGCTGTATTTTAGTCAAGCTGCCGGACAGAAAGCGCCACCTGAGGAAATGCCTTTGGAGTTTGCGGGAACACATATAGGTATATTTTATTGCAGTGGGGTGGGTGTGTTTTCTCTCAATTTACTAAATAGCTGTTGAGTATCTGCTCTGGATGGGGCCCCACCTGCAGTAACTGTTTAGGAATAAATACGCGCCAGCTCCACCAGCTTCTCTTCCTGCGTTTTCGTCCCTGTAGTCTCGGTTTCTTAGCAAACCCACTTTGTTTCACACTGATGGCCGAGGGAGGGGGTACAGTGTTGCTTACACGGCTATAATTGGAGACCAAAATGGGTCAACTAAAACACCAAAACACAAAAGTTCCAAATGATTACTGTAACTTATTAGGCCACAGAAGAAGATACAATGTAGAGTTTCTTAAAATGAGGTTCCCTCTTACTTCAGTCCGTACACTCTAACTTTCTAATGCTCTGAGCACTTTCAAATGAAAGCCGTGCCCAGAGGGGCATTTTACTTCTTCCCTCTCCCGAGTGTGCGTAAGTGATTGCTTTGCCTTTGCCAGAGAAGTCTACGCTGCAGCCCATAGACGAACACAGGGACACACTGAGCTCGCTGGGAGAGCACAAGTCCTTCCCCCTCAGCCCTGAGGACAGCAGCGGCAGCGTCCAGCGCCTGGTGACAGAGGAAGTGGGCGGCTCCTGTGCGGAGTTTGAGGACTCTCATGTGAGATACTTACTGTATGAAGATGAGTGGGACTTCAAGGTGAGATTCCTGAGACCACCTTTGATTGCTAAAGAGAACACTTAGAAAAATTAGCATACAATAGAGTAGTGACAGTTTCTGTTTGGATTTATTAATAAAATAGGCTCACCATTCCTCTCTCTCCCCGGATACTATTTTGGGCCAGTCTGCTACATGCACTGCTTTATGGCCCTCCATTGTTAGGATATAATGGAGCTAGAACACTGTATCAAAAACCATCCCCCAGCCTACTGGCCGAGAGCAGTGCCTTCAGAGCTCTGCCGCCCAGGCGCTCCGGAAGGCCTCCTCTGCACTGCCCCCACTTGCTGTGGGCAGCTACAGGCCTTTGCTGGGCAGAGCTGCACTCATGCAAGGGTCACTCGGGCGGGAGGATCCCATGCAAGGTGGGTCAGCCGCATGGTTTGCAAGACCATGCTGGCTAAATGGGGCCTCAGGTCCTCTACATAAGGGCCACCCAAGGACCAGCTCGAGTGTCCCTTTGTGACGCCTGGCCTGTCCCAGTGCAAGCAAGATACAAGAGTCAGTGTTCTGAACAGCAACCAACTCCAGTGGTTGATTAGTTACCAAGTTCCAACCGAAGGGAAGAAACGTAACTGCTGCATCTTGATGGAGGGAAGTCCATACCGTGTTGAAGGCAAGTGGGGGGAAGAGGCGTGTGTCGGGCCAGTCTGTGAAAGCCCGGGCTGCACAAAACCACCTGTGACCCAAGCCTGCCATCAGGCCCTGACTGTGGAATCTCGTTTTGGTACTTCATCCTCTCAGCCCCCCTTGCTATTTTGTTTCCTTCACCTGGCCCTGAACTTTAAAAGTTCTCATATAACCTCGTGTCCAGTGACCATTTAAAGACTGGAAGTTGCGGGCCAAGGCTGTGCACAAGTGGCAAAGTATTGCCTAGCAAGCATGAGGTCTTGAATTTGATTTCCAGCACAGCAAAAATAATTGTAATAAAGTTCTAGTTTCTCTTCTATTGAAATACGCATAGGTATATCTTAAAACCACCCCTCAAATCATTATGGGTCTCTCAGAATAGGAACCAGATCAGCCATATTGGAATTTGGAAAGCCATTTATGACTGAGCTCAGGGCCCCTGGTCAGCTCTCACGCGGGAGAGGACCGAAAGGCGGCAGCCCAGGAAGGGGGTGGGGGGTGTTAAAACCCGGAACCACATTCCATTAGGTAAACAAATTCATTGTCTGACACACAATAATGCTTTCAGGGTCATTGTGACCACTACTCAAACTACATTTCCTGGGGCTTTTGTTTTAGTTTCTACTTAGCTTGCACCTGAGTACCTGTATGCAGCCTTGCATAGCCCGGAGGTTACAAGAAGTGAAAGCCCATTTAGTTTCCTTTTGAAGTCATCTCTGTAAAGTAACTTTGTTTACAGGAATTAGTGAGAAAGGGATTTTATCTTAGTAAATGCAAGAAACAGGCACTAGTTACTAAACAACTTAGAACAGTGGAGAGTATACATTTTTTACCCAAAAGAAAACATAAGATTTACAAGTCTAAAATGTGAGTTGACCCATTACAGAATGTCATGATGCCTCCAGACTAGTGGATATTTGTGTATAAAATTCCCCAGCTGTAGGCCTTCTTGCCTCTGTGAGATGTGATGTAGAACTGTCATGTCCACAGTGTATGAGGTAGAAGCTATTGGTTTCTCTTCTCCTATCTTACACTTATTATAGCTCTATAATACTCATTTTAAAAACTAAAATTATAAGCATTTTAAGAAATAAGGTAGTGCCTTTTTGTCTTTGATTCTCCTAAATTCGAGTAAATATTAATAATTCCCTCAAAGTATTCGCATGACACTCTGACAAGCTTGTGTGTTTTTCATTCCAGCTGAGCTCTCGAATACAGGGCTCCCAGGAGAAGTTTGCTGAGGTGTTGAAGTTCCAAAGGAGAGTTACAGCTGAGAGGCCTCTAAGGAAAGCACACTGCTCCAGGGCCTGAGCTGCTCTACCCACTTTGGGTTGCCTGTAGGATTTTATGTAAACTAGTTGTTTTACACTCCAGCTTGGCTGGGTGTAGTAATTTTATTTATTTAATAGCCAAGAATCCCGAGAAAAAGAAAAAGAATTATGGCTGAGTTGCTCAATATTATTTATAGTCAGAGTGGCATTTGAAGACTCTTTCTCTTTGTTCTCAAATAATAAAGCAAATTTTGTTGTGGTTGTGTCCTAAGCAGCGAGCCTGTGGCTCCGAGGTTCACATCCTTCTACCGATTGTTACAAGGGAACTCGCAGTGTAGCTCGGTGGCACAACCCTGGCTTACCATACCCAAGGCCCCGGGTTCAACTCCCAGCGTCCAGAGGGTCTGCTGCCTGCCCTGTGGAAGAACTTCCCTGCCATGTCCTGCGGGCTGAAGAAGCCCTTAGGGCGCTTGTTTCCGGGCTTGCACTTGCTGTCTTCCACGGCAGGCCAACCTCACGGGGCAGTGAAAGCTGCCAGGAGAAGGCTGGGCCCCGGCCCGGCCTGCCGGGCTGACCTCCCAGCTCGCCTTGCTCTTCTTGCTGTCCCTCCACCGCAGGAGCACGTGGATTTGGGGCCGCTGGCAGTGAAGCTCATGCGCGTGGAGAGCAGGAAGATGCCCATCCATTCCCAAGAAAAGGAGGCCTCCGTCCGATTTGACGACGACGTGGGCAGTCCAGAAAACCGCGTCACGTACAAGATGATGAAGTCTTTTCTCCAAGCCTGAGTTCTGAAAATGTGAACAACTTTCCTTCCAAGTGGGAACGGAAGTTATGCCAGGTTGCCACTTTACTTACATGTTGGTCCATTCTTAAGCCTGTTGTTTGTACAGATCATAATTACATTTAACGTTAAAGTTTCAAGTGCTCGGCTGTTCCTTTGGTTACACAGTGTGAGTGACAATGGGTCCCCTCATTGCGGTACTGCAGTACTGGGCCCAGCGTGGCCGCCGTGGTTCCTTTCCACTTAGCTCACTCACCAACCCTTAATTCTGGTATGAACTGGCTCATCCCAAGATGTTTCCACAGACAACGTGGAGCCTCCCGTAGCGGTGCGGCGACTACAGCTTTTGTCTCTCAGGGCTCTAAGTGGTGAGACAGCCAGCCTGCAACGCGAGCTCTTCACCAGTCCATAAAGAACAAGGAGCAAAAAGTACATAAGAGGGTTATATGTGTTGTAGAAAGATATTCCATTACTCGGGAGGCCTCCCCCACCCACGATCACACCTAAACCACTGAGTTCTTATCCAGAGCAGTTACCACTTCCTTACGGGTCCACGAGCCAAAGGCACTGTCATTGCCTGCACGTGAGAAATGGTGTCACGGATTTCTGTGACCCCTCATGATACGGAGCCCCTCTGTCACCAGTTGGGGGTGCTGGGCACTTCAGGAGGGAGAGTCATGGTAGTCTCAAACCTTGCGGGATGGTGCCATGCCTGGTTCCTCAGCCTCACCTCTGCCGACATCACGCACACTTCAGTCGCTGCAGAGGTCAGACACGCTGGTCTCTGCTTCCGACACCCCTGCCAGGGGGCAGTGCCCACACCAGCTGGTCGTCTCTAAGCTTCCCCTATGCTTGAGTCTCTACTTTGTTCAGTGCTTCAGTAAACAAATGTGAGTGCAGACAGTGTCCTGAGAACTCCGGTCTTGAACCCTGACCATGGCTGGTGCCTGGTTCACCCCAGAGACCTTGCTTCTGGGGGCATCTAAGTATTTAGATGGCATTTATTCTTCTATTCTTCTACACTTTATAGGGCTCACATGCTTTTACCTACTCAGTGCCTATTCCAGACCACTATTCCATCCTGTCACATAAAACACTCATTTTGGAGATGCTTGGATGGCTCGATCTCACCCTCCACCGCTGTCATTGGCTTCCTCCTTGTCGCTCTTCTCCACAAGCTTTAATTTGGCCTCCTCTCTGCTATGCCCCAGGACCCATCCTACCCCATCTGTTGAGATGCTCATCAGCCGTTCACCAGGAGAAAATTGAGTGAGTGCTTCCAAGGATCATTCCACATCAACTCTCAGCCTTTTACATCTCAGAGGTGACCTGTGCAGACTACATCACAAATTCCCTGGTCTTCAACTCCTAATTGGCAATTTTTATGGGGAAGTGTAGGGGTTGACTGTATAAACTTGGGAAGTTAAAAGCGTAACTAAATGGGCTCAGCAATTCCACACCCTAGGGTATGGCGGCCTCACCCTAGAGTGATTGTCACATAAGGGATATAAAAGGAAGGGTGGAACATGCCACTTCCTTGGAGGAGCAGTCAGCCTGGCTGTCATCTCCTGGCCTCTAGTGCAGGCGCTTCAGCCTCCACCTTGGACCCTTCAGCCTTCTGGTGCAGACTCATCAGCCTCCCATTGCAGACCCGTCAGCCTCCTGATGTGGACTTGCAGGAACACTACAGTGAGCTCCAGACCTTGGACTGAGTCGTTTAGTCTCTGGTGTGCAGACACCTTCTGCACTCTTCCTCGTCTGACACTGTGGCTGACCGTCATAAGCCAATCTTGTAATTCCTTATGCATTTGTACAGCTTGTGTTATAGCTGTTCCTCTACTAAAACCCTGACTGATGCAGGAGGGTACTAGCAGGAGAGCACACATGAGTTATTCCCCAGCGTCTTCCTTGCCAGGTCACGTCACCTAGCAACATCCCCACAGCTCCTACCAGAGAGACAGTGATGCTGCAAGGCCTCTTTTGTCCCTGCAGGCCCAGGAGTGGTGGCAGTTTCTGTGTCGCTATCCTGTGGGAATGTCACCATCCATCTCAGTTTCCCTCCATCCTGCCCACACCCTTACATATTCCTTTTGTGACACTCTCCTTAAACACCCTGTTTGCACTGTTCCCTGCTGGAAGTGGTTGAGGCTGGAGCTGGGAACCAACAGCAAAAGGCTGGACTTGAAGTCTGTGCACGCCACGGGGGGACTGAGCATCAGCCGAGAAAGAGCCAAGGACACAGCTGGGAGATGTCTCTGGGTACAGGTGGGGCTTGAAACGGGACTGCCATCCTCACGCAGAGCCTGAGTCTAAGTGAAACTGCGAGCCCTGCATGAGTGTCACCCCAAACTGATTTGAGGTGATTTGCCTCTTACCAAATATAATTAACTGAACATATAGATTTTTTTTCTCTAGGAAAAAAGAATGTCAATTTTAAACACTTTCTTTGGGCTGGAGAGATGGTTCAGTGGTCTAAGGCACCTACTTGGAACAAGCTTGGCAAAGCACAGGCAACCGCAGTTCAATCCCCCAGCACCACATGCCAGCCAGCTGCGCCCCCTGGTGGGCTGAGCTGGCCACACACACACACACACACACACACACACACACACAATAAATAAATAAATGTTAAAAAAAAATTAAATGTTTAAAAAAAATAAATAAAAATAAATAAACACTTTCTTTTATACAGTCTAGCATGCAAAATACATATGCATATGTAAATATGTACAAAGCAGGGAAATAACAGAGAATCAGGAATAAAAGTAAGCCATTAAAGTAGACCTAGGAGGATCCCAGTCAGTAGACCAGGACTGCAGGGACACTGCTGTGAATGTGTTCAAGGGAATCAAGAGTGATGGGAACAGGGCTGAAATGCATTACACACAGTGAGGGCCGTGAGATAGCCCAGCAGCACAATGCCTGCCTGGCAAGATCCTGCGTTCAATCCCCGGTACCAAAATAAACAAACATATTGAAACCACCCAAAATTGTGGAACTAGGGGAGGGGGTGATGTCGGGATTAAAGTGTGCTTTGTGTAAATGGAGTCTGCCAAAAATAAATCCTATTCTGCCTTTTTTAAAAAAAATAAAATCAAGGCAAAAAATCAAAGTAGAGAGTTTCAAACAGAATTAGACTCAAATGAACATCTAAAATTAGCTGGGGATGCAGAAGGGGCAGCGTGCTTGAACTGCAGTGTTCAATTCTCAGTACTGGAAAAAAAGATAAGGTATATAAAATCTGAAGTTAATAAAGAATTGGACCAGTTAATGGCAGACTGGATTCCGAAGAAATCTGGGAGGAGCCTGTAGCCTCATGCAGGCAACCCCAACTCCAGAGAGAATCAAAGGTAGAGCAGGGCAGGAGGGCAGTGGGCACCGAGGGCGCAGCGCAGCCGCGTGCAGCTGGCACAGCAGGAGACAGCTCGGGAGGGAAGGTGAAGACGTCCTGTGGACCTAAGTGTCGAGCATCCCAAAACTGACGAGACCCTGACCGGAGATGGAAAACACTCAATAAGCACCAAGTGGAATTAAAACCGAAAGAAAGCCAACATGGGCACAGCATGCCTGCGCTCAGGCCTCGCCTCAGAGCACCATCTTAAGGCAGCCCAAGAGAAGGAGTGAGTATGTTGTTTTCAAAGAAGGAAGAGTAAGAGACTGGGCAGCTTTTTCGGCTGAAACTGTAAAACAAAAGATGATGGAAACATGAAAATATTGAAAAGACACGGGTGAAGTTCAGCAGAAAACTTACTATTAAAAAAAGAAAAACCAGATACCTTAAGGGTGAAATAAATTTTCGGGCAACAATAGCTGAAAGAATTTGTCAAAGGTATATACATCTGCATTATAAAAAAATAGTGAAGGGAGTTCTTTAGGCTGAAGAGAAAGGACCCCAGACTAAAGCAGGAAACTGCAGGCTGGAGCGGAGAGCTGCAGAAAGGGTGGTCATTTTAGGAAATCCTTTAGAGTACAGAATGTTCACAACTGCAACAAGAGCCAGTGTGGCGGGCGGCATAGGCCTGGAGTTCCAGCTCCTCAGGAGGCGGAGGCAGGAAGATTGAAAGTTCAGTCCCATCCTGGTCGATTTAGGCCTCCTACTCTCAGAATAAAAACTGAGTGTGCGGCTCAAGCCCCAGCACTAGAAATAAAACTAAGACAATTTTTATTTATTTATTTTTTGTGGAACCAGGGATTGAACTCAGGCCCTTGTGCTTGCCAGGGAAGTGCTTATTCCACTGAGCCGTCTCCCTGGCCCTGGCATTTAATTCAAGTAAGAAAGCATGACAACATGCAAAATCCAGCTAAAGTAGTGTTTAAAAGAAAACACAAAACTTTAGATTCATGAATTTCCAAAGGTTGAAATTCAATAATCATGTTTTTACCTTTAAGATCTAGAAAAAAATAAACACGAAGTAGAATTCCATAAAGAGCAAAGACCAATGAAAGATGCATACAAAAGGAGACACAAATCAAAACTGCTTCTTCAATTTGAAGTTCATTAAAATTAATAGCCTCCAGCACTTGCCTGGCAAGGGGAGGGTCCTGATTTCAACCCCTGGTACCGCAAAAAAAAAAGGCTATCATAAAATTATTAACTGCCAAAGACTAACCAAAACTGAAAATTTGAAAAATTATCAAAAAAAAAAACCAAAAGAAAACTAACGTAAAAAGCTTTTCAATAAATTTGACAATGGCGAAGAAAACATTTATTGAAAACTATTTCTGAGAAACAGAAGCAATATTTTGAATAATCCTAATCTGTTAAAGAAATCAAGCCTTACACTATAACAAAAAGATTTCAAACCTAGGTGACTTCACTGGTGAAGTTTTCCAAACATTTCAGGAGGAAAGTACGGCGTAAACGGACGTACTCTTTCAGTGAGTAAGAAAAAATAAGCACAAGTCACTTTATGAAGCCAGCATAATGTGAAAACCTCGCCAACGCCATTATTAGAAAGTAAAATTACAGGCAACGACAGAACAGTAGTGGTTTCTCTGTGGTACGGAATGGCCAGGGTGGGGCAGGAGGCCTTCGCATAGACGTGAGTCTGAGTGGCGCGTTCAGTCTGTCATATTCATACGTAGGACAATATTTATGTACTTGACGGATAGATTTTACACTGCAAATAGGTTTCAAAAAATGGTTTCCCAAATACTCACATCCTAACTCATCCCACAAAGTGACATTCTGCTATGATTATGTCCTGTAGTACGAAAGGTGTCAAAATGTTTCTTTTGCAAAAATCATGGAGTTATTTATTTATTTGATACAGGGTCTTGCTACACAGCTCTGCCTCAGCTTGGACTAGTGTGAGTCTCCTGTCTTAGCCTCCCCAGCACTGGCCTCCCACGCATGTGCCACCACACTCAGTTTCAGTGGCCAGCATAGCATG